AGGTTTGCTAGACCCAGCGAAATAAAACGTTTCTCTTCCCAAAACATTATGTGTTCAAAAGAGTGATATTTTTGCATCCCAAAAACATTGTAGTGGAAAAAGTCACACATCGTTATCACTTGGTCCTATTTTCTCTCTGTTCGTATCAGTGCGCGCGACACCATGACCTGACAGCTAGGGCCTACTAACCTGACAACAGCCAGATGCATGTCTCGCTCCACCTAGCTCCTAGCTGGGCGGAGCGAGACATGCATCTGGCTGTTGTCAGGTTAAGGGCCTACCTGTTTGATTCGCGATTGTTTACTACTGGGGAAGATGTCTGACTACGAGAGCGACGAGGAAAACATCGACTTCCACTTAGAGCCAAAGGGATATCTTTATGAACCCGAGTACACTGACGATGAACTTCGACAAATGGAGTTAGATCGGGCAGAAAGAGAGAGGGTGGACAGAGAAGTGATGGAAGCTGAAGCCGGAGCTGCAGGAGCCACAGCTGGAGCTGCGATATCCAGGGTGGCCGACAAATTATGGTGCACTTGTGCACAATGTTTTTGGGATGCAAAAATATCACTCTTTTGAACACATAATGTTTTGGGAAGAGAAACGTTTTATTTCGCTGGGTCTAGCAAACCTGCCGGACTACTTTCGGCTTGACCAAAGCTGGACGAGAACTCTGCTCACAGGATGCTGCCAGGGGTAAGTCAGTGTGATTGCATGACACTGGTGATGGGGATGCCATACAGATTCATGTCAAAAATCCCGAACTATCCCTTTAAGTCCCCCTGACAGTGGTCAGGATTTAATGCAATAAATCTCTGGAACCAAATCAGCTTGTGGTTACTTTGTACAGAGGACTCATATAACTATAATAAATATAAAAAATATAGCAATTTTAAATGTTTGGTTAAAACTAAGGCTGTTCAACCCATCTTAAAGTAGGGCAACATTGACAGATTTATTTTCAGGTTTATTTGTTTAGTTGATTTTTTTTTTTTTTTTCCCTGTGTCTTTTTTTTCCGGATTTATGGCCGGATTGCAACTAACACTTGATTATCCCTGGAATATTTAGTAACATAGCTCTTTGACAATACTTTAGACCTTACACAGTTTTCCACTTCCATTTTAAAGCCACACAATCTATGTTGAACTTTTAATCTACAGAAATGTTATATCAGTACTCATCATACACATATACTGTACTTAAATATTAATCCTATTTCTCCAGTTCTAAGACAAATGGAATATTTATTTACTAGGCTTATTAAATTGCTAAAATTTGAAACTCAATATTGATTCTCAGGGAAATATTAATTACTAGAAAGCATTTTTTTACTACCATGAGCATAAAAAAATGACAACTTAACATAAAAAACGTATTTTTTAATCATACAATGGAAGATGCTTTCACAACAGAATCACATAGGCCAATCAGATAAGTGTGCACATGAATGCAAAATAACCCAAATATTACAGTTAAACACAATTTTAAACTAGTCTGTTTAGTTTTCTTTTAATGTAAAAAAGAATTACAGTATCAATGTTTTTAACACCCTAGTCTGTACTACAAATACAGCATAATTTTAGCATTTACATGTACCAAACTTCTGGTTGTTCTAGGCTTTATTAACCCTTACAAAAACTCAAGTGACCAATAGGAACTAGAAGACCATTTTTGTCCATCATACTGCAGCATTTGTCTTTTTAGTAACTGCTGTCACTTCAAAGTTGTGACCACACAGAAAGGGACTCCTACCACAAATATGTCTGCCAGAACTCTCAAACCAAGTCTCCTAGATGAAGCCCTGTGAAAGAGAACTCCTTGAGATATAATTTAATTAGTTGTTTTGCATCCAAAAGGAGTGATTTTTTTTTGCAGCTTTCACATCTCATGCTGCTATGAATGAGGCACTTAACCCCAAATTAGTAATGCAGGTACTTACGCTGTAATAGCGATGCTGACTCTAAGATATGGGATTTGCTGAAAGATAATTTCAGTCAGACCAGAAATCCTTGTTTGTTATCCTCCATTAGAACTCCTGAAGTGGCATTTCTAAGCATTAGATTTATTTTTTTTATTATTATTTTTTTATTTAAACTTTTTTGACATTTATCATAGTTTTAAAAGGTGAAACAAATAACATTTTCTAAGAGTATCTGTGTTTTTTATTAATAAAAAAAAAATAGATTATTTGATTGCTAAAATATTTAATAGCTCCTGTCCCTGTTCAAATTGCTTTGGATGGTCCGTATGACAAGAAAGGTGCTATAAAACCCAGTCCATTTATTATTTAATCTAATATCCTAGGAGAGTAACGCATTTTTTTCCCTCCTTACTATTTGAAAAGCACAGGGATGACCATGTTGTAATAACCACTACTTCTAGCTAATAATCTTATTTCTTTCTCAATCCATCTGTGCCTTCTTTCTCAATATAACCGGAAGAAAGCTGAATCTTTTTTTCTCCCCATCAAACGTCAATATGATCCTCTCGAAAACAAAAAAATGACCTTTTACTGCAGAGCTAGAGCAGAATACTAATGTCTGCAATTCACACTTTGCAGCGCAGGACCTGTCGATACCCATCAGAGAGTATTGATCAACAATGCAATTGGTGGAGTAGCCTTAAAAGTGCTGTTATTTCACATCATTTTGTTTGAATGAGGTTTAAACCTCAGTTCATTCTGGAAATATTGAATCATCTGTAGGGTCATCTTTTTATTTCCTTGAAGATGATGTTATACAATAGTAATGGTACATCATAGTATTGCATTAATAAACAATTTTTCTTGATTGATTAAAAGTGTTTCTAGTAATTGTTGAAAAGATTAAAAAAAGATTTAAAAAAAGCAAAAGATACATTTAAATCTTTTTTTTAATATCTCATAGCTGAAGGCCACTTTTATTAAGCTAAAGTTTTTTTTTATTACCTCTTCTAAGTTTTACACATGTTGTCTCTAACAAAATAAATAGTATTTATTGTAAAGATTTGTATGTAACAAGCGACAAAAACTCAGCCTTTGCAATGGCCTGTGTGGCAACAATCCGGGGCGCCAACAGATGGGTTTAATTTCACCTTTGCTCTGCTCGGTGGCGAGATAATGACAACTCTGCACTTTGGATTTATTTTGCCACAACAAAAGCTTTTCTTTTTTTGTGATGTGTATAAAATGTAATTATTCTAACTATGAAAGACAGCTACCTCTTAGCTATGTAAGTAGGAAAATCTACAGTGATGTGATAAACCAATGAAGACTTACTTCATGCTCTTCTGTTGTTCATGGGAGTGATTCAGTCTAGCATGTGGGGGTATAATTATTTTTTTTTGCTTTATTTTGTGTTTTTTTTATTTGTTTGTTTTTTTTAAATCATGTTTCTGATTACTTTCACCATAAATAACCCCTCACTACCTCAATTGTGTGCAATATATAAACCTTAGACAATAGCTGTTTGCTTCCTTTGCCTATTTGCTTTGGCGCTAACACCCTGGAATTTGCTCACTCTGAAAGAATAAAGACTATTTTTTGCTCTATTTAAAAAAAAAAAGATTTATTTCACCATGCTCACTCTGAAAAAATAAACACTATTTTTAACCAATTAAAAAAAAAAAAAAAGATTTATTTCACCATGTCACATACAAAGTAAAATACATGTTTTGGATAGATGAATGATTTTTATATGTGTAGAATATGCATCAACGGGTGCTGGTGGAATGCATACATTTTCTTGGCTATGTGGGAATTTGAGATGACACAGATTTTTGACCTTTTAAACTATTGCAGATTAATCAGAATCAGAAATACTTTAATAATCCCAGAGGAAAATTACTTCTGTTACACGCTCCTGTTACAGTTTTATATATATATATATATCCACACATCCAACTACACAAGATAATAAAGATAAAAATAAAAAAGATAAAACATATACACATGTAGATAAAATATATACACATATAGATAAGTACACTCTAACAAATAATGTAATGGGTTTACTCAAAAAGATATGTTTACTTTTTGCATGGATCTTTTTAAGTTGTCCTAACTTCATTGTTAATTGAGTAATCGCTACTAGTCCAGCATAACAACACCAACTTAAATAGCCACATAAATACAAAGCTATCTCAAGTTGAATCTATTTATTTTTTTGTTTAAATTATTGAATTGTCACATTGGTTGTATCTGATATATGTTTCAGGTACAACAAAAAATTAAGTACAATGACCATGTTTATATATATATATATATATATTCAAGAGAAATCAAGTAGTGCTTACTTAATTAATTAATGAGTATTCCTTAAAATTTTGTTATCTCATCATTCCAATTTAAGTTGTTGTAAATGTTTACATAAACATTTTCAACTAAAAAAAGTCCATGCTAAAAGTAAACATATTAATTATAGTATATGCAACTAATTTTTCTCAGGTTGAGGGAAATAATGAACAGGAACCATATTTCACAATACAAACTGTTTATTTTATGAACATTTTGTACAAATTAAGTGCAAATATTTTAATAACAGCACCATTGAAAACTTGCCATTTATAATTCTCTTATTTCATAGCTGTTTAACTTTTATTTCCATCTTTAATGATCTTTCTGTTGCAATTTTGGTCAATATTTAGTTTTTATGTGTTACAGTGTATTTCTTTACTGTGTGTGTAGTCTCTTTATATTGTGTTAGTGTCGTGTAGTGTGTCACAGTATGTAATGTGTGTAGTATGTGTTTACAGTGTAGTGTTACAGTAGTTAAACAGCTCTAACCAAGTTGAGTCAGTGATTTTAAACGACTGTGACTCTAACTGAGGTAGGACATTTCTGCATTATTGACTAAATGAATGTGGAAAAATGAATGAACTATTTGTATGGATAACCATAAAGGCAAATATATCACCGCCAAAAACATTTAACATTCTGGGTCAGCTGAAAACAATACACTCACCAATATTCCAGCTCTCAAACATGACTATCAACGTCAAAACCTGAATAACATGAACAGCAACCAGATGTTGGTTGAAAGACATTACACTGCATAAATTAGGAAAAGTCACTTGAACAGCAAGTCCATCACAGCACAAATTAGGTTCCCATTTTTATGTTCAGCTATGAGGCTCAAAGGGGTTTCCTAGCAGCTTTTGCTTTAGAGATGTGACTTTTGGGCTGCATTTCTGACTGTCTAATTTAAGGAACACCTTCTGAAATACCTCGCAAGTGTACTTCAGCTCCCGTGGGTAGCTTAGATTGAGGGCATAAATGAGGCCCATCAGCAAAGCACAGGCCCTTGGCACATCCAACCCTTGCAGGACCTCTGTGCCCTCTATGATGATGGTGGTGCTGGCTGGATCAGATGCTGTAGTACCTTTTGTGACTAGAATCTTCACCACCCGACTCTCAAAATCTCCAATTTGGCTCTCAGAATCCTGAAAGCAAGAATATCAGAAACAAATATCAGTATCAGTATATCATTAAGCTGGCACACTCAATACTATATATAAAAAAACATAAAATGTCCTGTAATGTCCTGGTATCTAATGACTGCGAGTCAGAATTTCTAACACTAAAACTATATGTACAGACAATGTCCTGTTGATGGTGCCTGTAGCCACAGCCATGAAAAACATATTCTGGTTTTTACTTGTTTCTTGTTTTAACATAGTGAAAGGCAAACATATGGAAGAGTATTAGGGCCACTGGAACACAACATCTAAGGGATAATTTTTGACATTTTTCTGGAATGAATAAAAAGACAAAAGTACTCTCAATTTTTGTATTTTAAGTGGCCGTAATACTTTTCTGAACAAATGTAAAAGTTGTCTTGAGAAAATAAAAAGCAAAACAAGTTTTTACTATATTTCTATTCAGGTCATGTGCAAAGAAAAAAAGTTAGTTTGTCCCTTTAGTTTACTAAACGCTGAACAAGCAGCAGCAAAAACAAACAAGGACAGGGTAGGGAGAGACAGATACTGGTAAGAGATTCACAAAGACAGTATGAAAGGAAAGTTCCATTTCACTTCAACTTCAAGGTGTTGCAAAGGGATCCACTTTCACCTACCACATATTCAAAAAGACTGTCCTCATTTTCCCCAAGGTAGACCACTAAGCAGCGAATGGCAACCTCTCGGCGAATTTCAACTGTGTTGATCTGATGGAGGATTCAAAGAAAAAAGGTCAATTATGTGTTTTTTAAATATTTTTTTTTACAACAGTTAGTTTTTATTATCTCCTATTGTAAATAGCATATCAGGTACCTTCAGAAGTTCCATGATTTTCTGGATCTTATGTTTGGCAGCCCCTCCTCTTGACATCACCAGTGGCATCAACCTTGGTATACAATGGTCCAGATTTTCCATAAATGTTGACTCCAGATTGGCAGTGGTTATTCTTTTATATTCTTCCTTGATCTGTGTGACACAAAATAGAGCAAGATGGTACAACAGATATTAGAAGTCATGTTCCTGCCAAACTACCTATTCTAAATACAACAAAATACTAAAATATTAACCTGCTCAGGAAGAAATAGAGCAGGGCATCGTTCCTTCAAGTCCCTGACAGATGGAGCCAAGGTGACAATTTCTTGTCTCCGAGAGGAAAAGGTCCTGTCCATTTTCTCACTGATGATCTGGGAATTGTCTCTCTTCTTTACTTCACCTAGAAGTTCCAGTCTTTGTTACTCAAGGTTTTCTTTGGTTTCTCCTAGTGGATGAGGTGGCAGGTAGTTCGCCTCACCCTTTCGAGCTTTCTTGATGTTTTTTGCTGGCATCTTCTCATTGGCTCGCTTTTTTTGGAGAGAGTTAACCTCTAGCTCAGGGCACCCAAGACCCCTAAGTTTTGATTTATAATTGGCCATTTTAAATTTCAGTCTTTGTTGCCATCCGTAACATCCATTGTAGGACCCTGGTTCTTTCAGGCATGGGTGTTTTTGGATCAGTGCTTCTGCCACATCAGCAAATTGTGCACTTGTAGGATAGGCAACATACTCAAAGATGCTTTCGGCTAAACTCTCAAGGATGTCTGGTAGAATGGCAGTGGAGCTGAGTGGGCATCCATCTTTATTGAAAGCTTCATTACCAGCTGCTAGGACAAGCTCTGTCTCATTGCGGAAACGGGGTATTGGAAATTTGGAGGGCCAAGATTTTGAGCGCAAATTTCCATGATCAGGTGATGACAAGATAATTGTATCACCTGATTCAGATGAAGCAGTACTGGCAGCCGGAGCAGAACTGCTGGATGAACCTCTGTCTGAGCTGCTGGCTGCACCCGCGTCAGATCTATCGAGGTCAGTTACAACAAATTGGATTGAGGAGAGATCAACAATATGGACAACCTTAATTGTGTCTTTATCTTTAAGATCTTTGGTTGATGCAAGAGAAAAAAGTTCTCCTCCAAAATCAACATCCTTGTAATGTAAGATAAACTTCCCTGCTTCCAATCTATATTTCTGTTGTACAATAGACTGTAGCTCATCCACTGTCTCTGGTACTCCATAAGGCAGTTCAAGCTTGTCAATTATATGGTCTTGAACAATAACATGAAGTACAGCAGGTTTTCTCAGATAAGATGTTTGAGCATCTGTTAAGAAAAAAAAGAAACATTAAGTGACTCTAATATGGGACACAATATGTGAATATTGCAATATCTTTATCCTAAAGTTTTGCTGGCATACATTTCACATTTTTGGAGGCATGTTAGCAGAACCTCTTTACAAATACCATACCTGGAACATCAGAATCAGTAAAATCCATTTCCTCATTTATTGCATGCAGTATTCTTTCAGCAGGGGAAATACTTTCTGAAAATGTATAGCATAAAGAGAATAAAACAGTAAATACTTTCTTATCAGCTGCATTGTATCAACTTGTAAAAATGTGTCAGTTTAGCAGTCCAGTGTATGCCATTGAGCACAATGTGAGTTTGTAACTTGGGATTGCTTGTTTGCTGTGAAATCTGCCATCTTTTGTTATCACTAGATAACACAAAGACAATGTGAAAAAAAAATCCATCTATGGCAAGTAAATGAATCGCTTCAGAGTGACCATACGCTTCCCTGCAATGGTGTATGCAGCTAAAGGGAATATATCAGACAACTGAGCTGGCTCAAGAACTGTAATAACGTCTTTCATAACAGGGGCAGATGCAGAGCTAGAAATAAAGTTAAGTTCTTCAACCATCTCAGTAATTTACTGTTTAGGAACATTAGATATGCTTTCCAATTTCAGAAAAAGGTGGGCAAGATTAGCTTCAATTATGCTGGGCAATTCTTTCCTTTCTTCATCATAACCCTCTCCACACTCAATATCATCATCATCATCAGGATCATCCCCTACATTAACTGGATTCACATGCCTGTGCACATCTCAGCCTTGAAGTCATCCAGTGAGTGTGGAGTGTGTTTGCTTGTCCTGTGAGAGGCGAAAGTACCATAAATGTTCGTTTTGAAATCGCAGTTTTCAAAAACGCATGGGATTGTTTCATGTTTTTTTAAATGCCGACCAATCGGTCTCCGCCACGTGACGTCAATTGTTTACCTCGGGCGCGGTGCATCGTGGGAAAACCACCATATTAGGTGGAAAGTCGAGATAAGCCACACGCGGCTGTTCTTTCGTCACAATTATTTACCAGAAATGACACGATCGTGTTGTGTGAGAGGCTGCCAGTCCAGGTGTCGTGCCAAGGTAGTTATCCCTGCGAAAATTTGTATCCCCTCGTCGGGAGCGCGCACGGAGTAGGAAGAACAACCCGAGTTAACTCTGCTTCAATTCCAATGTGCAGAACTTGAAATTTGAAAGGTTTTACGTGTATGAAAGTTGAGCTTTACTGTTTTATTCTTTACTTCACGTGTTATAGCAGAATATCGCCAGTGATATTGATCTAAAACTAATAATAAAACACAAACGTTTGCTTGAAAGCTGGTCGCTGACAGCAGTGTCTACTCCTCCCTCTGAAAGCAAACTGATCCTTGTTCTTTTCCACACGTTCCTTAAAAAAATCTCTCATTGTTTCACAGTGTCCAAATGTTCTCATCCCATTGAAAACTGTTGTAAACCATATGCTTGTAATAAAAATGAAATAGAAAATGGAGTGCACGTGTAATCATTAAAGACTATATGCAGAAGGAAAATAATTTTTTCCTGGTTGAAATTTAGTACTTAAATCTATATTTGTGTTTATAGTAACTTACAATTTATCTATGTTGTACTATCCTTAATAAACAGTTTGTGTTCTTTAATCAGCCGTTTTATTTCATCCCATATTGCCAGAAATGGCAGTATGGGATGAAATAAAACCTGCTATAATCTGTTCCCCCTGTCTAAATCAGACAAAAAAAGGTCCCAGCTTTTTCATTTTTGGCTTATAAGCATCTTTTATGATGCCAAAAAGGAAAAAGCTGGGACCTGTTTGGCCTGATTTAGACAGGGGGGAACAGATTATAGCAGGTGGCCTGCTATAATTTGTTCCCTCCTTGTAACTTTAAGAAATAAAGGTCCATCACATCCAAAGTTTCAGGAATAAATTGTCATTATAAAAGATGCTTATAAGCCAAAAATGAAAAAGCTGGGACCTTTTTTTGCCTGATTTAGACAGGGGGAACAGATTATAGCAGGTTTTATTTCATCCCATACTGCCAATTCTGGCAAAATGGGATGAAATAAAACAGCTGATGTTAGAAGACAAACTGTTTATTAAGGATAGTACAACATAGATAAATTGTAAGTTACTATAAACACAAATATAGATTTAAATACTAAATTTCCACCAGGAAAAAATTATTTTCCTTCTGCATATAGTCTTTAATGATTACACGTGCACTCCATTTTCTATTTCATTTTTATTACAAATATATGGTTTACAACAGTTTTCAATGGGATGAGAACATTTGGACACTGTGAAACAATGAGAGATTTTTTTAATGAACGTGTGGAAAAGAACAAGGATCTGTTTGCTTTCAGAGGGAGGAGTAGACATATGCTCAAAGTACTCCCTCTCTGTGGTGATGGAGCTTAGGGTACAACATGGACATTTAAAAGACAAGACATCTTTCACATTTGCCGCTTTATAAGATGAATGACTTCTTGTCATGTGTGATTTAAGGCCCATGTTTTGAAAGAGCAATAGCATTCCCAATAAATACAAGGCAGAATTTGCGCACAATGCACATGTCGCAGCCTGTAGTGTTTCAAAAGCTCAGTCTTTCTGGGAGTTTCATATTTACACATTTTACAACACCAGTTCATTGTGAACGGGATTCAGTGAAAACGTTCTAAACACTGCTTAACAATAAACCACTCCAAATGAATCAATGTACAATCAATGGCTTGCTAGCGAGCGACTGTAATGGCGGCGGGAAGGCTTACTTACCAAAGTGGCATGGGCAGCCACGTTGTAGGTTAATGGTCCTCCAGCAATGATTAAGATCCCCAAAGATGACTTGTCAGCTGTTCCAAAGCGCAAAAAATGAAATTCCAATGCAGATAGTAGCTCTGTACAAACAAGCAGACACGAGTGCGTCGACTTTCCCAACCGGGTGCACGTTGAGTATCGTCTGCTGCTTGAGTATCTACGCCCGTTTCAAAAAAAGTTTCAAAAATTTTTTTTGAGCTGAACCAACTTAAAATTTGAGACAAATTGAGCTGATGCGCTTTAATGCATTCAAATTACACAGGAAAATGAGTCTGGATATTTTCTTATTTTTCAAGTTGGTTTATTTAGATTAATCAAGCTGGTTACTTAGTTTAACAAATAAAAGCTGCAAACTTAAATGTTTATATTGAAATTGCGCATTTATTTTAGCTGAATTTACTACCCCCATGCTTTATTCTTTAGAGTGTAGGTTTTACCAAAATTGCACAGATTTGCACAAATTGTCTGTTTTTTGGGGGATTCATTTTTCATATTCTTTGGTTTTGTGGTTTAAAAACATTTAAATTATTCCTTTAGTTATTTATAAATCTGACCTTTTTGTATGGCCTCATAACAGAAAATACATGTAATTTTTCTTCTTCAAGTTCAAAGTTATACCAACCATAATTGTTACAAAACCCCTAATTTTTGTGCTACTTTTTGTCTCTACAATAAATATTGTCTCGAAAATGTTCTGAGTTGTACCAGAAAATGGTGTGCATCTTTATTGGCTAAAGATGTAAACCAGATGGAAGCAGTCAGGGTTGATATGGTCTGTTCAAATTATATTTTATTGATATGCAATGTGTTATTGACTGAGAGTTTAAAGATAATATCCTACCCTAAATTAACTACATGCAGCTCTATTTGATTTGCCCAAAATGATATTACAGTGATGATTGTAAATGGGTATCCTTTTTTGTTTTATCCAACAAGTCTTTTTTAATTTTTGCTCTTTTTATCAAGTGTAACAAACATTTAGCTACTGATCAATTTCCTTCCAATTGCTAAGGATTCTGCGCATTACATTTTCTTACATTTTAATCAGACTATAAAATGACAGTCCTGTTTTATTAATGCAGAAAACAAATCTAGTAACAGTGATTTTTGCTCTGTGTTTCAGGGACAACCTGTTGGCCAGTGTGATTTCAATATTCGACTCCTGTGCATAGAAAAAGAAATCATTTTTCCACGTATGGAAAAAATGAAGATCGGACAGATCGACAAAACCAAGGAGCCCTTCAGTGTCAGAAATAAACCCTTCTTTGACATTCATGCGTCACGCAAGGTAAGATGGACCAGCATGCTGTTTTTACTTTCCAAATCATTCCCTTCCCTTTAACTTTACCAGATGTGACCCACTTAAGATTTATCCTTTCTTTTGGTTCATGCACAAATCCAGGCAACCCAGTTGTTTTGCACATTGTAAACTCACATGTTATCTGTCAGTAGTATCCCAGTTTATATCCAGATAATTTATTTTCTAGGGAAATGGCTCTTCAAGGGCAAATTGATCCCAAGAGAATGACCAGTACAAGAGATGAAACACATTTTTGTACCTTTATCCTACAGAAAATGACAATCTTGAGGGAGAAAAGAGCTCTCAAATGAGTGTCTGATACCTCGGCTGTTTCCCACTGGGACTTATCCTGTGCAATCTCAAATGATTGAAAACCTGGATTACAATACATTGTCTGGATCTTGTCTTGAGTGTGTGAACTTGAGCGCATATTTCCATTACTTTTTTAGCATTTATGCTCATTTCACCAGAGATCTTCCCCATTCTAAGCATCAGGTAATAAGTGATCTCTGCCAAGGTTTTAGTACAGTAAGCTGAAAGCAGCAGAGCTTTTATCGCCTTTGTGGCCGTTAAGCTTTCCTCGAAGGGCTCTGCTCTCGCCCTTCTCTCAGGGCTGCAGGAGTTCAGAGCACAATTCATTTTGTGTTCGACTCGAACAAAGATCAGTTTGAAATCTTGTTCCTGTGTCCTAACAGACGATCAAACTGAAAGGACAAGGTGATATTTATGATTTTTTTTTTCTCCCCCAGCACTAATATCTAAGCGTTTTTGTTCATCATAAAATTGTTAGAATGAGTGTTGTTACCTCAGGTCTAACCCTGTGCTACCCACATTGCAAAGAATTTTTATGAAGGATCGACCCTGCAAGCTTTTGGGTTCATTCCGATGAAGTTATTTTGGAAATTTAGTCACTGGTCCGCTGTCTGGTTTCTGACTGCCCCTTTGTTTCCTCCATATGCCATCTGCTCTCTGTACAGTCCCCTCTCTGTTGTGTGGGGCATTAAATAAGGGTTACTAGAATCTGGCTTATTAATTCATCTCAGCACAAACCCCCACTTTATGGCGTATTAATTCCTTTTAGGGGTGTTTCATTCAAATGCTAGAGTTGTATGACCGCTTTTGTCTGTTTCTAGTCTGCTTTTTTTTATCTCATCTCATTCACTTAGACATTCTAGGCAGCAATTTCCCCACCAATTGGGGCATTTCTTTTTGGTTTTACTTCCTCTACTTAACAATGAACGTTTTTGTTTTAATTAGACTTACACAGCAAGACAATGAAGTAGTGTATTTTGGATTTCCCCATTTGCACGGATTGAATGGACTGGAAAGTGGAAATAGCTACATTTAGCAGCACTATTGCGTGAGATTCTCTGCTGTTTTGTATGATGTGCTGTTATGCACTAAAACTTAACAGTTCACTCCATCAAGGTTAATGGCTTTGAGTGACATTTTAACCATGTTTTTCTTTTTTTTTCTGAAAACATTTAATGAAGTCTGTGGGTAAATAGACAGGATCTATAAACACAATTTTTTATTGTTTCCTTTATTTCTAAACTATATTTGTAAATGAGTTTGCCACTTAAAAATGTGATTTCTGCAAAAAGTTCTTTAAATTTGATTGTTGCTCATTAAGACTGTAAAATATTAACAGTCAAAGGGGAAATGGAGAAAGTATATATCAAAAGCAAATAGTGATAGAAAGCAGTTCTTCTTTAGTAATAAAATTCCTTTTTTTCTTTTCTTTTTTTTATTCATTCTTTTTGAGGCGATTGAAAAACAGGCTACATATACAGTAAAGATCTAAATATTCACCGGTGGACACAAAAGTTTGCATACATATCAATACACGTACTTGTTCCTGCATAATCTAATAAATGATTTCTTTTTCAATAAAGCAATAAAGTCACACCTTGACAATTTAGCCAGCGTATGCCTGACCTACAATAATCTGGCAAAAACACTGGCATACGTTGGATAAGTTATGGGTATGTTTTGTATAAATTATGAGCATGTTGAAATACGCTGAAGCACGCTTCTGTATAATGGCATATTTGCAGCGTTTTAGTATGAAAGGGAGTTAAAGGAGGACACTGCCTGTTCACCTCCTAACTTCTTCTGCATCATAGGGTGAGCGAGAAGGTGAGTGTGATGAACAAGAACTCAGGGCTATGTTTATTACTGAAAGTAAGAGCATTTTCACACGCACAATGCGAAGGGAACTCAAGGTATTGGGACTGAACAGCTGTGTAGCCGTAAGAAAACCACTAATTAGTGAGGCTAACCGGGAAAAAAAGGCTTCAATTTACTAGGGAGCATAAAGATTGGACTGTGGAGCAATGGAAGAAGGTCAAGTGGTCTGATGAGTCCAGATTTATCCTGTTCCAGAGTGATGGGCGAATCAGGGTAAGAAGAGAGGCAGGTGAAGTGCTGCACCCACCATGCCTAGTGCTTACTGACCAAGCCTGTGGGGGCGGTGTTATGATCTGGGGTTGCCGCAGTCAGTCAGCTCTAGGTTCAGCAACAGTATGTGCTCAAAGAATGAGGTCAACTGACTACCTGAATATACTGAATGACCAGGTTATTCCATCAATGGACTATTTCTTCCCTGATGGCACAGGCATATTCCAAGATGGCAATGCCAGGATTCATATATATATATAAATATATTGCTGTACTTTGTACACATTTTGAAAATGTTAGTCTGTGTATCTGCCAGAGTCTTTGCTGAAAAGGAGACTTGAGAGACAAAAAGTGATTCAAAATCCTTCTGTGCTTTTAAGTCCAGGTGCAATATTATTCTTTTTAATTTAGTCTTGGTTCAATAGTGGTAGATTAAAAAAGGAACAGCACAGTTGTAACTCATGTGCTGTATACCTCTGAGTGTCTCCTCCACTCCGTATGCTTCTAATGCACATTTCTCTCCACCTAACTTTCCATTACTAAGCTCCCGTTTGACAGACGGCGTCTCCAGCACTTTCCTGGTCGGGGCGTGGGCAACTGACTGAATATCTGTGTGGCCTGCAGTCTTAAAAATGATTGGGGAGTTTACACCATGACATTACATTGCTTTAATAAAATATATGGTTTTTATTGTCTTTTGTAATATTTCAAAGTTCTAAGAATTTAGAAATTGAGTTTTCATTTCCTTTAAGCCACAATCTTCTAAATTACCAAGATGAAAGATTGGATTGGAACAATAATTCTGTTTCTTAATCTTTTTTTAAAGCAGGTAAAAGCCATACACTGTTTTAGCTAAATGTTTACAATACTAAATCTAAAAAGAAGAAATTAGATATTAACATGTTTTTCCCCCAAAATATTTCATTAGTCATGTCTTAAAATAATTACGTTTAGGGAGACTGATTTTAATAATGTAAAGATCAAAAACACATCTTATTTTGACCCCTGGAGTCTCATACAGTTCCTTTCCACAAATTCAGATAGTAGAAAAAAATCTGTGATTGTATTCAGGAGTTATATTTGTTTTCTTAAGTTCCTCATTAAATACAAATGAGACGTTTCTTAAAATGACACCACAAGTTTGCTTATTAGAGAAGTTTAGATAAAAGTTATCGGGTCAATTAATATTAAACAGTAAAAATAATTATTTCATAAGAGCCAATATCATGACTGTTAATTCCAGCGCAGTTTTAAATTTTAATTGAAGTTAAAGGGAACTTCATGCGTATTTAAGCAACCAGAAATGCATAAACAAATAGATGCATGAGATAAATACATATGACTGGAATAATTATATCCCATTTGAATATCAGCTGTAGATTTGGTGAACATGTGTGATATAAACCAATGTAAAACTTGTTAAATACTCCAAGAGAAGCACTAGGTTTTTTCTTGCTCTCACAGCGGCGAAAGCATAATGATGTCATCTTGATCTTGCGGGCCCATCTTCAGATTTCTCACTTTTTGTTCTTTTCTTTTTTTCTCACAGTGTGTCCGAGAACAGCTGTTTTTTTTTGGATTGGAAATGTCCCTCTTAATTCAGGTGTAGAAATCCGAACAGTGATCCGTCACTTAACGCAGTAGCCCCCAACCTTTTTTGCTCCACCCTGGTTCAACGTCAATATTTTCATGGACCAATCAGTAGCTGTAGTAATATCTGGTTGCT